GAACGACATATATTAACAAGCGTATATGTACTTAGTTGTACGTATCCATATGTATGTAATATAATACCTATTGTACATAGTATGTATATACACGTAAATACATATTGTACATTGAGTGTGTATGATATTCGTATGTGCATATTGTTTACTATTCTTGTACTTTCAATTATAGATGTACGAGTTTCGTATTTGATAGTGTACGTATATGAAACACACGATAGTGTACGTGCGTTCTCAGATATGACATAAAGCAGAAATATTTAATGCAGATTATTAAATGCAATGACAGACGAAAAGTAAGGGTATTTTCGTCCGATTTTCTTGCAAGTGACATATTTGTATGTGAAAAAATATTTTGTGACATTTTTGTATGTAGAAGTGAGTTTTTATGACTTTTCTGTAGTCTTCTCTAATATTAATCCGAATCAATACAAGAGAAACTAATAGTATGTTTTATGATCAAAAGTCAAAACTACCAAGAAGTTCCAAGATATTGTACCTTGTCCATATAAGGAACAAGCTCTTGTGATTTCCTCATTCGTTCGGATATCCGAGTTCTTTCTTCACACCTAGCAAGTAACAGAAAAAATATTTTAGGAAAGAAGAAGCTTTTCAAGTATTAGACTTGCTAAATCCATACGAGTTCATGTTCCAAGGATTTTAGCGATATGTATGGCGGTTATTTGACTAGTTTAATTTACTTGTTCCGCGATGCTTCGAGGATATGTGGCGCAACCACAGTTTGGCTCTAATTTTGCAAGGAACATAATCTTGCAACTGCATCGACTGAGACCATGTCCGAGGTTCAATAGCATTGTGGTAGATGTTCGAACATTTTCCCTATCGCTGGCCCAAGCCCAAAAGTTGCTGACTAGTGACTACTGAGGCTTGAGTGGTCATTTACGGAAGTGCCCTTAGGATTTGGATTAGAGTGGAAGTGGGAATCATTCAAATGCATGTTTGTTTCGGTAACTTTTGTCGGTTGGTTAATAAAAATTTCTCTGACACAATCCCATTATTCATAGTCTCTTCCTTTCTTTAATTTGAATAAAAAATCTAAATATATAACGAATTGAATTCAAATTTATAGCTTCAATCAAATCCACACATATAATAATAATACGACGACCTTCGCAATAAGATGATAATAGGTAGAGTTCGATTATTTTCAATTATTATCAAACATGTGTTTAAGTTTTTTAATTACTGATACATATATAGGTTTAGTAGGATTGTACATTTTTTTCATGGCTCAAGGTGTCCTATACGAGTGAAGATTCTAACAGCATGTCTAATGTAACACTCTATTTTTCCTTCTAAAATAGAATAACTTCAAATTAAAGTTGGATTTTACTCTAATGTATTACTCTATTTCTCATTTCAAAA